AACACTCCAAAGAGAAAGGAAAAATTGAAATCGCATCATATGACCCCTTTAAAGCATGTAATGGCAATTCTTACTGTTTAAATATGTTTAAATGTGTTTTGTCTATGTCTCTCAGAGACGAGAGTTACCTTAAGGACCGTGGCACGTGGGGAACTTGCACAGAGCCAAAGAATGTGGTGGAGTTTAATGTAGGTCTGTTCTCAACACTGCTGGTGACCAGCGCCCTGCAGCTCATCCTCTGTGCCATACAGATGATCAACGGCCTCTTCGGTTGCCTCTGTGGAACCTGCAAAGAGAAAGGGGTGAGACACTAGTTGAAAAACAAGGAGAGTGGTGAATGAGGAATACAAGAAGAGTTCTAATACGTCAGTGTAAAAAAAAAAAGTGAAAAATAGTCCAAAACATGTTAAAAACAACCTACCAAGCCATAATACGAACCCTGCAGCAATTTCACAGTAACATTAATAGTGAGGCCCTCTGAGGTCATTTTCACTATACATAAATGAGATGCAAATTGGCGAAAGTGGTGTTTGTGTTGTTTCACACAAACGCAACAAAAAAACGCTTGTTAAGCACTCGATGAGAAAACAGATATAAAGCTTTACCATCAGATGACAGTGAATATTGAAGAATTATTCCATGGTCTGTCGGAATACTGGATTCTGATTGGCTGGCAGGTATGCAGTAAAACCGTTTAAAGTACAGGTAGTTCCAAGTCAGTTTAATCACCGTTCTATATTAATGCGCTGCCTTTAATTGATGCACACTAACCAACACGAATCACTCGCACACACACACACACACACACACACACACACACACAGAGAGAGAGAGAGATAGTGAGGCCCTCTGAGGTCATTTTCACTATACATAAATGAGATGCAAATTGGCGAAAGTGGTGTTTGTGTTGTTTCACACAAACGCAACAAAAAAACGCTTGTTAAGCACTCGATGAGAAAACAGATATAAAGCTTTACCATCAGATGACAGTGAATATTGAAGAATTATTCCATGGTCTGTCGGAATACTGGATTCTGATTGGCTGGCAGGCAGGTATGCAAACCGTTTAAAGTACAGGTAGTTCCAAGTCAGTTTAATCACCGTTCTATATTAATGCGCTGCCTTTAATTGATGCACACTAACCAACACGAATCACTCGCACACACACACACACACACACACAGAGAGAGAGAGAGAGAGAGGTCAGAGATCGCTGATTGTGCTGCACACACACACATAAATTTGTCAACGCTTCCCCGTGATTTTCATTAATAAAATAGCCTAGATACTAGATCGCTACATTATATTCCCCAGCAACGAGGTGATAAAATCGCTGTTTTTGAAGTAATTGTTTGTAGAGAGAGACGCACAGACGCAGCAAACAGGTACACACAACTGTCATCTCTCTCTCTATATATAATTAATTGAAATACATGCTATAATTTATTCAAATAAATGTGGTCTTACCGCACTATTTCATCTCTGTGTATGATTTGAAGCTGGCAGAATGCTAGCGCTAACTTGCCGTAACCATAGATTTAGCATTTAAAATCCTTTAATGCACGACTAGCCTTTGATTACCCCTTACATATCAGGCGCTGAATATTGAGATTGACCAATCAGAATTAAGTATTCCAGAAAGACGCCTTTTCAGTGTTTTTGCAGGATTTCCATTTCTGTTAATGCCAGAACTCTCATCATTAATTTAATTCAATATTAAGAGTATATAATTGAATTTTCACACTTAAACAGTACTATTATTATAGGACAATTGCATGTCTCCTACATATATACATATATATATATATATTGTTTTTGGAATTTTTAATTAAATGTAGGCCTACTGGCAGTAGATTCTTACACCTCAATAATGAAAAAAAAAAAAGTAAAGAGTAAGAGCCTCCTTCCAGGCAAAATGATCAATAGTAGAAATTCTAGAAATTCTCTTTAAAACTGATTAAATGGATTGATATTTTGTAGCCGCTGTAAACCCTGACTGCTCCAGGTGCCAGGGAGGTCATATCCCTCATCTCTACCATCCAGCGTCCTTAACCAGCGCCCTCTTGTGGAAGATGCTATCTGAACATTTTAATGAAGGTTTATTTGTACTTTCTTTGTGTACACTTTAATCTTCTTGTCACCCATGGATGTTTATTAGTTACGTTTTGGCTTAATACAGTCTTTTTTAGTAATGACTTATGTATAATGACTTAAAGTGTGAATAATATTTTAAAGGAAAATGGCTTTAATTAATGGCATAACACTTGTTTTGTATCTGTTTTTATAGCTTAGAAATGAGATAAAAATACTAAAATATAAATAAAATCCAAACTGTTACACAGTGTGATTTACATGTGTTTTGTCAGACTTTACTTCACATTTAATATTACACAATTTAATTCTCACAGAAATCTATGATTTAGTATCAAGTTAATTCAAATCACTTTAAGGACATTAAAATAAATCAAATATGCATAGTTTAAAAAAATACAATCCTGGTTTTACAAAGTTATTCAGTTTTGTAGAGAGTTGTTGTTCTTCAACTATATAAATGGGACACTTTCAGAAGTGAATCAAATAGAATATTTACAGTCAGTACATTTCAAATGCTATGATGATATGCCACAAAATATAATACTGCCATACTGTACTGCTGACCTCAGTACATCATTTTTAAATGATATGAAATATGCATGTACATTTCTAGACCCTCAGGCCAAGGTTTAGCTTCATAAAAACACCCTAACAATAATAAAAAAGAATGGTAACACTTTACAGTAAAGTTCAATTTGTTAACATTATGCTGTAAATGTTTACATATGCTACTAATTTTTTTAAAACATTTTATGTTGTATGCATTTACATTAATGTATTATGAACAAATGAATTAACAATGAATAAACAATAGTATATTTGTACATTAACCTAGATTAATAAATGCTTTAAGAACCATTGTTCACTGATAGTTCACAATACCTAATGCATTAACTAAACAAGTATAACCTTACTGTAAAGTGTTAAAGTGTATAAATAAAAAGCATCATTATAAAAATGTGCATTAGTGTGTGCAAACCATAGCATGTAGAATGAAATACTATAGAATGGCCATGGTGAATTATAAGTAGTTCGTTTAAAAATGCTAAAAAAACAACTGGAGAAAATAGCACGTGCTGTTACGGGGTTAGCTGTCAAACTGTGCCATCATGATTTTGCGGCTGGCTTCATAACCTAAGAACAGAGCACCGTTGGCTGGAAATGTGCGGATCATTGTGGGAGTCAGACCAGAATATAGAGCCCTTACACCTGAAAATGAGAGAAAAACAGAACCAAATGGGGGTTTCATGTTTAAAATTAAAATTTAGCTGTGATTTTATACATAATACTGTTTAGCAGAGAAAAACTGATCTTTCACATACCTTCTGTTCTGAAGATATGCATGAAAGTCTTGAAGAAGCCTGACTGCTTGCCTGTCATTGACATGACCTGTATCCTGGATTTAACACAGTCCATGGGGTAAACCACAAGCCAGAGACAAGCTCCCCCCAAACCTCCACTGAACACAATAGGGGCTACACCTACAAAAGACAGACAACACAAACTCTTCAGAGCTGACTTTAATGAACCTGGACATCACATATGTGAGAATATACAGCAAGCACATTACAAACATAAGACAAAAAAAAATGCAAACGGGACCAGAGTACTACTAGAAAAAAAACTCAAACAAATACAGAATCTACACTACCATTCAAAAGTTTGAGGTCGGTAAGATTTTTGAAGATTTTGAAAACATTTTGAATTTACAAACATAAGACAAAAAAAATGCAAACAGGGGACCAGAGTACTACTAGAAAAAAAACTCAAACAAATCCAGAATCTACACTACCATTCAAAAGTTTGAGGTCGGTAAGATTTTTGAAGATTTTGAAAACATTTTGAACAATTTAGTCTCTTATGCTGACCAAGGCTGCATTTATAAGATCAAAAATTGAGTAAGCGGTAATATTATGAAATATTATTACAGCTGTTAACAAATATTCTATATGTTTTCGATATTAATATATTTTAAAATATAATTTATTCCTGGAAAAGCTGATGAAAACTTTGATGAATAGAAAGTTCAAAAGTAGAGCATTTATTGGAAATACATTTTTTGTAACAATAAAAAGGCCCTTACTGTCACATCTGATCAATTTAATGCATCGTTACAGAATAAAAGTGCTAAATTAGTACTAAATAACATTTTCTGATGGGTAAAATCTTGACTTTTTACCTGAAAGAAGGGACTTCTACAGCCTACAAGAGGTATGCGTCTTTCTCCTTATACTATCTCTATCGTTATCGACTGAGTAAACTGAATGACCAGCTATGTTTAAAACAAAGAGTTAATTGATTACTGACTGATTTTAATGTTTGTCCTTGTCCTCCTAATGACTGACTCAGGTACGCCATTTCAATAAAAACACACCAGAAAATACCAGAACAATCAATAAATGAGAAACAAAAGTATGCCGTTATCATTTAGTCATTTTAAAGATAACGTGTAGAAACCGTAACTATTTGCATACCTATGTCATCCTTGCCACAGTGCATGTACTCCGCAAAGAGAGAGCGACAGAGCTCATATGCTCCAAAGAAACAGAAATATCCAGGCACCTCACGGGCAATTGTAGTGGTTAAACCCTGGAAGAACCCTGCAGGACCATCATTATGGATAATGGACTTGATCACCGACCAAACTGTGCTGAAAAACACAGACATACATAAGGAGAAAGGAGGTAAATCATATCATGAGTAACACTAGCACTTAAAAGTAAATAAAAATATGTGCGCAGTATCCACAGAAAGGATGGCTCAATCTTTACTTCTGACTGTGGGCGATCTTGCCAGATGTGGCCATCTCATGCATAGCCTGCAGTCGGCACTTCACCAGCTCAGTGGGACATAAGACCAGAGAGGAGAAAACTGAGGCCACGGAGCCTGCGCACGCTTTCTGCATGTCACTGAACAGAAATAAACAATCACACACATTGAAAATAAGCGTTGATATAAGCAAAAATTAATGAAATTGTGATAATGATATGTATATACATTACTGTGCCAAAAGTTTATGGTAAGACTTTTTTTTAAAGAAATTAATACAAGGATACAAATTAATACAGATCAAATCAACAAATACACAAAGTTATCAAAAGTGATAAAAAAGTGATTTATAATGTTACAAAAGATTTAAAAAATAAATGCTGTTCTTTTGAACTTTCTATTCATTCACTTTCCAAAATGTATCGCAGTTTCCACAAAAATATTAAGCTACACAACTTTTGTCAACACTGATAATAATAGAAATGTTTCTTGAGCACCAAATCAGCATATTAGAATGATTTCTGAAAGATGATGTGACACTGAAGACTGGAGTAATGGTTTCTGAAAATTCAGCTTTGCCATCACAGGAATAAATTCACTTTTAAAATATATTCAAATAGTGAAGTGGGAATTATTCAATTTCCCGGTCAAACTCCACATATTAGACAACTGAATCAGAGGATTAAACTGGAAATTCCTATTACTGATTTTCTTTTAGAATCAATGCAGAGAGGACAGCTTCGGGCTGCGTAGAAGAAAGCAGAAATGGAGAAGAAGAGAAGATCAAATCAACAAATACACAAAGTTATCAAAAGTGATAAAAAAGTGATTTATAATGTTACAAAAGATTTAAAAAATAAATGCTGTTCTTTTGAACTTTCTATTCATTCACTTTCCAAAATGTATCGCAGTTTCCACAAAAATATTAAGCTACACAACTTTTGTCAACACTGATAATAATAGAAATGTTTCTTGAGCACCAAATCAGCATATTAGAATGATTTCTGAAAGATGATGTGACACTGAAGACTGGAGTAATGGTTTCTGAAAATTCAGCTTTGCCATCACAGGAATAAATTCACTTTTAAAATATATTCAAATAGAAAAGAGTTATTTTAAATTGTATTAATATTTCACATTATTTCTGGTTTTACTGTATAATAATCAAATAAATGCATTCTCTGTGATCTGATCAGAGAAAAAAAAAAAAAAAAAAGTTTACCCCCAAACTTTTTTAACAGTGTGGTGTTTTGCAATATACACATTTTAAGGAAAGGTTATTCAAAAATAATAAAAATAAGAAAATAAGTTTCTTTAACATTTAAAATAATATCTGAAGTCATTTTTGAAAAATAATCATGTGAACATGTACATCCTAATGGAATAACTTTATCTGCAGAGAATTATTTAATTTCAATTCAAGAAAAAAAAACTAAATAAATAAGGCTACTTTAGAAGCAAAACCCTTCCGTCATGCATTTGTTTTGGAGCTTCCAGAAAATACTAGATACTATTCAAACAGTAGAGCATGGTGCTAGCAACTCCAAGGTCATGGCTTTGATTTCCAGGGAATGCATGAATGCATAAATTGTATACCTTTAATGCAATGTAAGTCGCTTTGAATAAAACCACCTGCCAAAATGCATAAATGTAAATGTACTATTCATAATACAAACTGAACTTGCCTGAGCACAGCCCCTTTCTCCTGACCAGAGACGAAGCGAACCACCTCTTGGCAAAAGCCATAGCACATGAAGAGCACAGAGTTCTCCGCAATGTTGGCCATGAGGGCCGGTGTGGTACCTTGATACAGCCCTCGAAGGCCCACCTGTCTGTACGTAGACACAAAGCAGTGCACAAAGCCTCTGTATAAAGTGGGGAATGTCTGCATTTTCACCTTAGCCGTGTCCAAAGGTTGACCACTAAGTACACAAGCTGTGCCCCCTAAAGAGGAAAGAGAAGCGGGAGAACAGAAAGAGTGATGAGCTTTTTCTCTTGTTAATGAAACAAATGGAATGTAGGAGTGAAATCATTCCCCTTCAATCATCATTATACACATACATTTGTCTGTGTGTTGCCCTTTCTTTTGTTACAAACTTTAATTGGCTTGTATTTTGGTATAATAACTTGGATATGGTTTGAAATAACAATAAAATAAAGTTCCAATAAAAATTTGTTTTAAGGGTTATGAAGCAATGATCTACAACTAATCCACAAACAGTATCACACACTACAAACATCCTCACCCATCTATCAGTATGATCTAAGCCAGACAGAACAGGTCAGTGTGTGTGTGTGTTTGGTGTAGGGACTGCTGAGACAATGGGTCCGGACTGTGAAACCACAGGCGTAAGCAAAAACACACCGCTCAAAAGTCAGATAAGAACTGACAAAAGAAAGGATTTAATACAGATGGTGCTGAAATAAAGTGTATCCCACTCTATCATCATAGGGCCCAGGATAATGTTCCCGATTGTCCCCCAGAATGGCCCTGATGTTAGGTGAAGTTACCTATAGCCCCGGCAGAGAGGTCTATTATTGCCTGAACCACAGGATGTGGTGCCATGGTGAAATATGCCAAGCGCTCCAACAAAATCCTAAATCAAAGATCTGTGCAAAAGATGAGACAGAGAAAAGAAAATCAGTATACTTAAAACTTTTAGTTCATCATTGTAAGTTTATTTCGTTTTTTTAGAAAGTAAACCCCTACGTAATCCCAAACTTACAAAAAAATCATGCTTACCAAAACACAGACGGTCCTTAACACTCAGAATTTGAAGTATTGAAGTATAACTATAACGTTTGAAGTATAACTAATACGTTGTACATAACTGTGTAAAGTTACATAAGCAGACAGCATGGAGCTGAATCTCAAGTTTCATGTAGTAACAAAGTTCGCCGACTGGAGAAAGTCACAAGCCACAGACTAGCCTATGTTGTTTTGAAAAACTCACACAAAGCCATGCTCTTCAACCACCGCGATTATTTTCGGTAGAAACGCCTTTCTGATGCAACAATTGTTTTTGCCATTATGTGGTTGTCTTTTATGTGATGCAAAATAAAGTAGCACCAAAAAACTGGTTACAGACAGACGTGTTTTTGCATCACCTGAACTGAACACTGAATAGCGAGACTGAATATCTAAAAAGTAACTGTGACAACGTAGATTTCTCAATAAGCATTCACCAAGCATGCCTACCTTTTTTCACGAAAACGCTTACAACGAAAATATGTAGCGAGATTGTTTGGTTCATGCTGGATCCTTACTGAACTGCAACATTTGCGAACAGATGAGTCATGACCTCTCGAAAGGGATCCGTATGTAAAGCCCCGTTCGGGATGTAGCGATGTCTGGCTCGTGAACGAATCGTTCAAATGAGTCGGATCTTTTCAATGAATCGCTTGAACAATTCCAAACGATTCGGTCACGATGGTTCTCGATGAACCGTGGATGAAGCTAATGTTCGCCGCGGGGCCCCCTCAAGCGCGGGGCCCGGTGCGACCGCACCAGTTCTTTCCATGGCAAACATAGTAACGGTAGTATGCTATACAGTTACGAATTCAGATTCGTTATGAATCAAGATTCGATGACTGAACTGAAGTATATGAAATTGACTGATGGTGCAAAATAAAAGCTGGTTTTAATAAACGCTCACATCCAATTACAGTGAACAGCCTTATTAATAAAACAATAAAACGTAAAAACGCATTATGGAAACGTTGTAAAGCAGGTAAAATGCCACGCCATGATGTCAAGGGCCACGTGATGATGTAATTACGTCGTGTCGTAAAAGATTAAATGAATCATTTTTTGAAACAGTTCTTAGAGACGAACTGTTCTGAAGAACCAATTCGAGTAAAAGACTCGAGCTGCGTCCGAAATCGCATACTTCCATACTATATAGTAGGCGAAAAACAGCATGCGAGGCGAGTAGTATGTCCGAATTCATAGTATTCGAAAAACAGTAGGCGAGAAGTACCCGGACTCGGACTTCCCATCACTAGCCGGGATGGAGGTTGACAGCGGTAGCGGCAGACCCCTCCCCTGGACCAGTTTATGAACGGTTCCCTTTTCCTGTTGCAATCCGATTTAATTCTCCTAAAGCAATGTATGTGATACCGACAGATTAAAACTGATAAAATTGCTGAATGTTTAAACACTCGTAAAAAGTGACAAATGAGACGTAAATTCCCTTTAGTCGATGCAGAAAGGCGCCCGGAACTTCTATACATCTCAGGCGCCAGCCGGACAGTTGATTGTGCTGCGCATGGAAACGTGCATGGACGACATTGAGGTCTTCTGAGAGGGGCAATCATGTACAGAAGATTGTTAATAAATATTAATCAGGTTCGAAATAGATTCATTCATACGCACAATACACGATTAACTTTACCTTCCACAAAATGTAAAGAGAGGGAGAGTTTCGCCCCTGTTACCTGGTAAGTTACAGATCTAAGAACCTGACAGGGTGACAGCTCTGATGAGATTGAATTATGTTTATGTGTCAGTTAAAAGTCTCAACCTGGAATTTAAATATCTCAAATGGCAGAATAAAGAACCACTTGATTAACCTGCAGAATTTTCCATTTGCGTGTTGATTATGTGTTTGCAATGTATATTAAATATCTAAATATACCTTCCAGCCCGTATGTTAATTATTGCTCTATAATTTGATTTTTAAATGTTTAACAGATAAATTATCCAAATTCGGATGTTTTTGTTTTAAATTATGAAGACTCATTTTATCTAATTTCTTTATTTTAGGGCCACATGTACAGCAAGGCCATTAGGAACCAGTAGCATCTCTTTTAGTGAAAATAAAGAGAGCTCCACATGCCTGTCAGAAGACAAAGGAAAGACACCAGAAGAGAATGAGGTGAATGCAGAGGTTAACACTGATGGGCAGAAGAACACAGAAATGAATGAGGGCACTGACATTTCAAATGCAACATTGACATCACAGTTAGAGACTGAACCAGTGGTTAAACCTGAGGACAGCAAACAGCTTGAAAAGACAAAAAGTGGGAAGGAGAGTCTTTTGGAGCTACTTGGGGCAATGAAGGTGGAGGTCACAACCGTACGTAAAATAAGACCCTCAAAGACTCCAAGAATGAGTGAGAGGCCCGACCAAGAGCCCATGGAAAGCACACACAGCATGTTCCAGCGTGCCGCAGCTGAGGGTTCACAACAGCAGTGAGTTATACATACATACAAACAAGCATAATTCATTCACAAATTGGTAATGCTGACACTGAAATGCCTACGATAACAGCAATTCCATATATGTTTACACTAAGAGCTAAATCACAAGATTCAGATTAATGAATTAAGAATATTATGATATAATTTTGATTTCTGACTAGCAAACAGTGCATCCATTCTGAAGTGAAAGTAGCAACATTTTTCTGTACTTTAGTGGGACCTTGAATCCAGCGCTGGTTGCTGCAGTCTCTGCCGCCGCATCCACCCTGCCGAACAGACATCAGGCAGAGTCAGAGCTCCTTAAGCAGCTGAGGAAACATGAAGCCATACCTGACACCCAGAGGAGAGCAGACTTAGGGTAGGGCTCATTTCAGATGTTGTATTAGTTGGCATGAAACTGAAATCTATTTCCTAAACGCTTCTTATTAAACATATTGTAAACAATACATCTATGTGTAGGTTACATTTTAAAAAATCAACTTGAGCTTGATATTTTTAATCAGAATGTCAAAGTTTGATCTTCCATTGAAACGCCAGACTTCTGTTGATGTGTGCCGGACTTCTCCATTCATTTAGTTTGCTTAAACCCCACCCCTTTTATAACAATCGACTACGACTCGCATTCATATCTGCCACCGTTCAATCAACAACCGATGGATAAAACCAAGTCCGAGACCTGCTTTGTGATTTTAATTGCATAAAAATGCATGTTGTAAAAATGATGTTTTATTAGTGAATAAAAATATGGACCTTCCTGTGTAAATGTGGAAATAAAGTGTAACATTAGTACATGTGTTGGAACAATTATGTGGTATCATCTCAAAACTTTCAGACACATAATTGCCGATATGAAAGTCGGAAAGAGGCCGAATGGCAGATCAAACGTCAGACCTACCAGTCAGATTAGTTTTGACGATGACGGAAAGGGATATACTCAAGACAAAGGCATTACCAGTGAACTTGGAGTCCGTAGAAGGTAAAAAAAAAAAAACGTCCCTGAAATGTCCTTTTTAAATACAATAAATTTTTCCACTAACCTTGTGGGTTTTTTTTTTAAAGGAAGAGTCCTTTCACTAGTAAGAGGTTGAACCTCTTTGCTGCAGGTGCTGAGCAAGACACATTGTCAGATTTGGGTAAGGAGAAGTTCTGTTTTATGGCATTAACACCTTGCAGTTGACACATTTGAGTATGTCCGTGTGAAACAGAGTGTATTTACTTAGCCTGTCCTGTTCGCTGCTCTGAATTTCAGGCCCTACTCTTTGGGACATTGATCTAGCTAATCAAATTGTCCAGGGAACAAATCAGATGCCTCGGAATGGCTTTGAGGAGATGATCCAGTGGACCAAAGAGGACAAACTTTGGCAATATCCAATCAACAATGAGGCTGGTGAGTTCCACTGTAAGAATAGGTTGCATCCATCTTTCGGTTTTTCTGAATTCTGTACCTTTTCTTAATCTTGTCTTCTGGCACATCATGCAACTTTTTCAGGCCTGGAGGAGGAGGCGAGTGTGCCCTTCCACGAGCATGTGTTCCTGGAGAAGCACCTTGATGAATCGTTCCCCCAGCAGGGTCCAGTCAGGCACTTCATGGAGCTTGTAATTACAGGCCTTGCAAAGAATCACCACCTCACGGTTCAACAGAAAAGGAACATATTTACTGGTTCAGAGACTACTTCCGACAGAAAGAAGATGTCTTGAAAGAGGCTGAGGCATAACTTAACTAAGGATCGGACAAAGATAGAAGATGAGTTCAGATCCAACTGTAGTGAATGCCCTAGAACCAGCTAATTAATATCCTAACTGCAGTGAAAATTAGCAAAGCATGATTAAGCAACTGGAAGTAATAATTGCATCCATAACCAGATTAAAAGACTGGATCATTGTCGTTGCTTCTTAATGGTCAGCTGTGTTATACAATCTCCTGAAAATTGTCAGATTTTTGTGTTATTTACTAAAACAACTTTTTCAATAGTCTGGATATTGCGTATGCTGCTCATAATTCAGTTTACTTGTATTGTGAAAAGTGCCACACATGTTACAAAGCAGCATAAAGAATTGTAACTCCAACTTGAAATTACTATAAATATATCTAGCTTTATCCGCATACATATAAAGTGCTATATACTACAGCAAATCTCAGCTGTTTGTATATTTCATTGCCCTGTCGCCAGCTCTAAACTGCTAAATATAAACAGCTAGGCATTAATGTATTATATAAACATTAATATTATCTGTAAAGCTGTTTTGAAACAATGTGTATCATAAAAAGTACTATAAAAGTGAAAATTGACTTGTTGGGGGTTCCCACTCTTTTGAACACCAGATTTCAGAATTTTAGGATATCAAGATCTTAATCAGACTTGTACGTAGTGAAGGCCTCAACAACAATTAATGTGATTACAATTTGTCAAGATGTTCAGGTCAACAGTATGCTGTATATCATCTTTAAAAATATCCATGCACCTAAGGCAGGGCTTTGCTGGTACCTTCCAGCAAAGTTCTGCTCCACCTCTAATCAAACACGCCTGAACCAGATAAATAAGATCTTTAGAAACACTTCTGGTTATTACTATGGGCATGCTGGAGCAGGTTTGGCACTGAACTCAGCAGGAAGTTAGTTCTCAAGGAACTGGATTGGGCACCTCTGTATAAGACGGGTTTTCAACTCTGGCCCTCGGAGGTCCACTTTTCTGCAGAGTTTTGCTCCAACCCCAATTAAACACACCTGAACAAGCTAATCAAGGTCTTCAGGATGGCTACAGAGATCGTCTAATTATTGGGGAATGCTAGGGTCTGTAGTACTAACCCTTGGAAAAAGCTTAATGGCTAACTTGGATTTTAGCCATTCTGCTTTTTTGGCTAAAGGTTGCAGGCTTGCCTTCCAGTGGCTTTGGCTACAAGGTTACAGGCAGGTGAGATTGATTAAGGTTGGAGATACATTTTTAATATCAAAGTTTTAATATTGCAGCTGCAGGAAAAT